ATACTATAATTTCATTCCGGCGCGATAATTCCTCCGCTAGCCAGGCTAGGGTATTCCTCACCTGCTGTACTCCGCGTACTCCGCTTAGTGTCTCTAAGCGGATGCGACGAAACTTTATTACCGGGCATGTAGTGCAAGGATTCTACAAAGTTTCCTAGAGTGACTTCTATAATGTTGTGAGGTTTGAGATAGGGCGTTCAGGGCGTATTGGGGCTTTGAGGGGGAGTCTAGGAATTGAAGGTGTTCTAGAAAATTGAATAGGGTTTTACATGTCATCAGGGGTTTTGGGTTTTGGGTTTAGGGTTTAGGGTGTAGGGTTCAGGGTTATAATATGTTGCTCTCTTGAGAGGGCTGTCACGCAAGCTCTGGCACTGCGCCATCGTCGCTGTAGCAGCCGTTAATGTCGTGGGGGCCGTCGTCGCAGGAGTTGCAGCTCGATGCAAACAGGCTGACTAGTAGTTGTCCTGACGTCCCTCCTCCTCCAACCTCCCTCCTGGGCGTCCTCGCCGTCGTGCTAAGTGCAGCAGCGGTTGTAGCATCATGCATTCTGCTTGATGCATGATACATGATACCCTAAAGCGTAAACCCATGTATGATACACTAAACCCCTCCTCACTATGCGGCGGCGAACCTTTCGGCTGCAACTTGGAGCTTCGGGGCTGTAGTCGCTTTGAAAGGAACCTTAAAACACCGCTTGAACGTAGTAAAACGAGAGGTGGTCGAGGAGCCTCGTCTTGAAAGAATAGGGTCTAGGGTTTAGGGGTCATAGGGCTTAGACATCACTTTGATGGCCAGGTGTCTTCACGACCACGAAATCCTCCGGCTTTGCAGCGTACGGCAACATGTGCAGAAAGCTGCCTTTTTCAGCAAAGACCCCTTCGGTGGTGAGTTGGCACGGCGTTTCATTGACAGGTATGTTGTAGAATCGCGTCCGTTCTCGGATGTGATCTGGCAGCGGAAACCACCATTCGTTCTGGTTGATGAATCTCGCCTCCCATCCGTAGATGTCATCAAACTCCATGCAGCGATCCTTGACTAGGGCTTAGGTTTAGGGACTTCCAGCTTCAGCTTCAGGTGTCTTCGATTTGGCAGCTCTCTGCATGGGGTCGCTGTTAGGCTGCAACCCCCCGATTGCCCGAACATGTTCACCCCCCATAGCAAACGTCAGCCTCTCCCATCAACGCAAGCCCAATCAGTGATGTCGCACCTTGCACCCGCAGAGGTCAGAGACAAGGCAAACATCCCACGAACGCAAACCCAGCTACAGACCCAAACACTGCAGCTGCAGCTCCGGGACCTGTGTGCCTTACAGCTTGCGTGACGAACAAGGTTACATCGGGACGGAAGCCCTGAGCCCTTAAACCACGAGATATAGAGGCCTTTGTTATAAACAAGGAATGTTAAAATTTGACAAAGTAAGGACAATACAGGAGTAATATGACTTACGAATTATTCAATTCAGGCCCTTACGTTGAGGCCTTTTTGGAACCCTTGTCTATCGATCTCTGGAAGTTGCCCTTCAACGAGCCATCAGCCTTTTCGCTCATTCTTCTGGCCCTAAACCTTCTAGACCCTAAACCGTTCTTGGTACCGCAAGCCCTGAACCTTAAACCCTGCTTTTCACCGAGGCTCTCGATACATGTTGAAGAACAAGGGGATGGATGGACCGAGGCCCACCCCTTTCCGGTAGTCCACGTTCTGGAAGTCATACCTTCTGTAGCTTCTTTGGGCTTAGGGCAGTTGAGGGTTCAGGGCTTTCGGTCCCCTGTGCAATTTCCTTAGGGTTTGACCCTAAAGCCTGAAACCCTGAAACCGAAATTTTAAACCCTGAAACCCTAAACCCTGAAAGCTAATCACAAACTGTAAGGTTTAGGGCCTCGTGGCTTCGAGGGCCTATCATTCAAGGCTCGGGCTTCAGGTTAAGTGAGCATAGTATCAATAGGGTTTAGGGTTTAGGGTTTAGGGTTTAGGGTTTAGGGTTTAGGGACTGGGCCCAGAACTACGGCATCCGACATCCTACCTGTAGTCTTCATTGTAGTTCTTTTTTGGTTAGCCAGTTTTAGGGTTAGGATCCCATAATATGGAGTTGGTTAACCAAAAAATGGCACTACAATGGAGACTATTGGTATGGCTTGGGGCCTCCCTGGGTTGAACTTGCATATTTTGTATTCAGGGTGCGGGCTCTAGGATTTAGAGTTCAGGTTTTTGTGGGTCTAGGATTTAGAGTTTAGGGTTTAGAGTTTCGGGTATGGCTGTTGGGTCAAGCGGCTGCGGCTTCTGCCAATTCCAGTTGGTGGTGCAGCCCATGTCGAACAGCTTCACACGCGGCTTCGGTCCTTTTCTTTCGGAACCTAGGCCTAAACCCTAAATCGCAAAATTGCAGGCGTTGGGGTATGGGGATACAGCCGGAAGCATTTGGGATCGTTAGGACTATCGGCTTGAAAGCCTCATTTGAGCGATCTGTATTCTAGGCAGCAACAACTCCGCAGGATTTGCGTTCCTGCAGGCTTGAAGTCGCTACAGTGGAGGATGTAGTGCGACAGTGCCGGCCTAGATCGGCCCGTTCCACCCCGGATCGGCCTGTTCCGCTCCAGATCGGCCCGTTCTGATCTAACATCGGCCCGTTCCGGCCTAAATCGGCCTCCGGCCTAGATCGGCCCTTTTTCAGGCGATGCCAAGGATCCCAACGGTAATGCCAACGATCCCAACGGTAAGCCGCACATCATCCCAATTTCCCAAGGTGACCTTTGACTCTCTGTCCTTCCCTCTAAGCCCCAAATGCTCCGTCATTTCAGCACTTCGTTTCACTTGTTTCAGTTGTTTCCTTCATGTCACTCATGTCGTGCGTGCATACATATGTCTGTATATACGTAGAATGACATCATTATGCGCGGACTATATGTACGGGTATGAAGCCATTCCCAATACTGGTGTAGACAGTTTAGGCGGGCTCGGAGAGCTTAGTGGTGTACTTAAAGGTTCATGGGGCTTAGTAACTAGGGTTATAAATAAGGCAACTATACTTATAACTACTTATAACCCCAATTAAGGTACTTATAACTGTACTTACTAAGTCCCATGAACCTCCAAGTACGGCTGCAGGAAGGGCCAAAGGCTTTGGAGTGGAGTCGCACCCCTTAAGAATCCAACCTCAGCAGTAGAAACTGAAACCATAGTCAATGAGAGCGGCACATTCGGGTCATATACATTAATTCAGAGTGAGACTTGGGCCGATGATCCGGCAGTGTAGTCAGGGTCCAGTCTTGCAGCGAACCCACAGAGACAACTGTAATTGACTTCGTTAAGGCATGGACCCCAAAGATAGCAAGGGCTTCTCGTCGTGACTTTGAAAGGAGTGCTCCTTGATTTTAGAAACCCTGGCGCTTCTCTCCTGGAATGCCGCAATAGCTATCCAGCACCAAGTACCTCAGCTGCATGCTTTGCGTTTAGGGTTTAAGTGCCTGGCTTTCCGGTGTGCTGAAAGAGGAGCTGCCCGACACACAACTTTAATCCGGTCTGAAATTGCATCCGTGTCTGGTTCGGGCAAACCTGGTGTTCATGCTCCTCGATTTGCTCTTGAGACAAATGAGCAAGCCACAGCAAATCGCTCGAAAGCGAATGGAGCGACTGCGAAAATTATGCTCACTGTTTCAAAGGGGCTACAGAATTTTTGAAAGATGAGCAACCCGCCAGAAAGGGACTACAGCGTTTGAGAAAATGGTACTCACTGCTCCAAAAGGACTAGGGAATTCGAGTGAATCTGAGAAAGAGGAGCAAAGCGGTCGAAAGGGACTAGAGCATTTGAGAACATAAGACTCTAGGGAATTGGAGAAAGAGGAGCGAGCCGCTCGAAAGGGACTGGAGCATTTGAGAAAATGATACCCACTGCCCGAAACGGACTAGGTAACTTGAGAAAGAGGAGCAAACCGCTCGAAAAAGGGTAGAGCATTTGAGAACTGATACTCACTGCTCGGTAAAGACTAGAGAATTTGAAAAACAGGAGCGAACCGCTTAAAAGGGACTCGGTCATTCGAGAACCTGATATTCACTGCTCGTAACAAACTAGAGAAATTGAGTAATAAAAACCATGCGAAAGGAATTAGAGTCCAGAGCATTGGGGAAAATTTTACTCACTGCTCGACAAGAACGAAGACCATGTGAAAGGGGCCAGAGCCTTTGAACAATTATTCTCACTGCTCGAAACGGACTAGGCAATTTGAGAAAAAGGAGCAAACCGCTCGAAAGGCACTTGAGCATTTCGGAACATGATGTTCATTGCTCGGGAAGGATAAGCGGCCTTGAGAAAGAGGAGCAAGCCGCCCCAAGGGAACTCGACCATAAAGGATTGAGAAGAAGGAGCAAAACGCTCGCGAGGCTCGACAGAGGCAGGGAAAGAGGAGCCGACCGTTCGAAAGAGACTAGGGCATTTGGGAAGGAGCCGCAATCCACTCAACATGGACTTCAGCGTTTGACAAAAAGCAGCGACTTGTCCGAAAAGGTGTTAGAACATTACAGAAAATTCGCAAATTAGCAAACAGCTTGAAGTGACTAGAGCCTTGGAGAAAGAGGAGCAGACCGATAGAAAGGGACGAAATCACATGAGCACGGAAGGGACTAGGAGTCACGAAAGCACTTCACACAGAGGAACAAACCATGCGAAAGGGACAGACATGTGACAGATGAACAAGCTTTGCCCGATTTTCTATCATTCTTTGGATGTCAAACGCCCTAGCTTGGTTCGACATGAAACGGCATTCCTGTGGCTCAAAGTCTCCTCGTTTCTAACCTCTCAAGTCTCTTTCGAGCACTCTGCTGTTGTTTTCCAAAAGGGTTTAGGGTTTAGGGTTTAGGGTTTAGGGTTTAGGGTTTAGGGTTTACAATCCCTTTTCGGGTGGCTTGCCCCTCGTTCTCCACTTTGCTCTGTGTCAAGGTTGTTTAGTCGCTTTTGGCAGGTCTGCTCCTGCTTCTCAAATGCTCTAGTCCCTTCGGACTGTTCCGTGTTGTCCAAATTCTCCTCTTGGTCAAATTCTCTAGCATCTTCCGAGCGGCGTGCTGTTGTTTTTTTCATTTCGAATTCCTTCCAAATTATCTTCTTTCTCAAATCCAGCCACTTCTGTCTCTCCAACATGTCTTGGCCCCTTTCGACTGGTGTGGTCCTCTTTCTCGAGTCTGCTTCCCCGGCTTGCGCCTGTTGTTTTCCACCTTCCTAATCCCTTTCGATTCTCAAAACCTCTACTTCAATTCCCATCCACGGGTCTCTGTCGAGCGGCTTCGTCCTGCTTCAAATCTTGTAGTCCTTTTCGACTGGTTTGCTCCTCTTTGTCATGTTCTCTAGTCCGATTGAAATCTTTTTCTCAAAGGTAGTAGTTTGCTCCGAGCGGTGTGCTCCTCTTTGCCACATGTTCTAGTCCCTTTCGGCTGGTTTGCTCCTCTTTCTCAAACTCTCTCCGGCATTGCCCACCCCAACTGGCTCAAATGATTCGTCGATAACCTGGCATTCGCCACCGATCAATAGCAAGACCCGCTACATGAAACCGTTTGCGAAAACCCTCCAGGGACTCTTATCGAACCCCTAGATGGCAATTTCAACGAGTACCCTAAACCCTAAACCCTCAACCCTAAACCTGCAGCTGGGAGGCTGGATGTCGAACTTGTCCACCCCGCCGGTGTTGGGGCACACGGAGTGCGGGTTGCGAGCAACCCCCGACCTCGGGTTAGGAGCGAGGGGCTTGGGCTTAGGGTTTGGGGTTTAGGGGTTGAGGGGTTGAGGGTTTAGGGTTTTCGGATTAAGGGTTTAGGGTTTAGGGGTGCGTCTTGGAGGTGAGGGCTTGAGGTTGGGTCTAGGGTGTTTGAGGACGTGCTCACGAAGTACTGAGGAAAGACCCTAGCATAGTGGATACAGTTCTTAGCGATCAGAAACTGAAACACTTGCGCACGGCCATGCCAGGTTGCAGACCTGAAACATGTTTTACTTGAGGAAGACTTCGGAGCTACCGCCGCTGAGCATGACCCGAGTTGGCAATTTGGCGCTGTTGGCTTTCGACAATCATTTAGGGGTTTCCGAAAATAGGGGACCCTAATATAGCACCCTAAATAGTAGGATCCTTATTATAAGGACCCCTAAATAAGGTCCCCTTGTTTTCGGAAACTCCCATTTTGTGTGTGTCGGCCGCTGCAA